TCTCTCTCTCTCTCTCACTCACTCTCTCTCTCTATCCCCTCTCCCATCTGCTAATTTACTTTCCTATATCATTCTTATTTTATCTCTAACAAAAAAAGCAAGGTATACGTTGACAATGAAAGCCTCTTGGTCTAGGTGGGTAGATAACTTTTGGCTTACCACAGTGGATTCTAGCAATAAAAATTATATCGCATTAAGATTTTCAAAGATGTCCAACGCACATAATTTGAAATACTCCCATCTGATCTAAAACTAGTCTTTAATAATTGATCTGGACAGAATAACATGCTTTTGTGTTTGTTTCACTCTCCCCAAAAACTGCTTCAGTGTGCGAATTTAATTTTGAAAATAATACTAGTATTGTGGGCATCCAGATATTTTTCCTCCAAGCAATCTGCGACTTTTTGGATAGACCTACTGCAGGTCTTTCTGTTTCAAGCTATATACTGCCTTTCTACGTTAGCACGCTCGGGTACTTTTCTGCGCTGCTATAATACAGTGCATTTAATCCTCTGTTGTGAATAAACATCATCTGAAAGGAGCTCTCAGAACAGTAAATAGTTCTTTAGATATGCTGTTATTTGATCTCAGACCTTACGTTTAGCTGCTATTTGGTGCTTTTGAAACCTATATTTTTTATTAAGGGGAAAAGAAAACATGTGTGCCCCAAAACAAACCAACAAACACAAAAACAGACAAACAAACAAAATAACGACCTCCCATAATTCTTAAAGAATAAACTCATTGTGCAACAGAGACAAATGGAAAATAAAAGATAAACAAAATCAGAAAAGTGAAAGACTGGATTGTATAGTAAATAGAGTAAGTTCTCCCCCCCCCTTCCTTTCCACTCCCTCTCCCCCTCGCCATTCATCACCACTCCTGTTCGTCTCTTTAAATCCTGTTAAATATTTAATTTACACAGAGAAACACACTCGTTGACTCTTTCACACACAAACAAATACGAACACACACACACACACACACACACACACACACACACACACACACACACGCACACACACACACTTACATACACACTCACAAATAAGCATGCACGTTTACACGCACACACGCGCGCGCACACACTTACACACACAAATGTTTCTGTACTAATCACCTTTCACTTGTCTTTCTTTTTCTCCATTTAGTTATTTATTGTTACCTGGCTTCGTGAACTATCTGTTCAGTTAAGTAAACATTTGTTACTTGAAGTGACTAGCAATACACAGCATAATAGTAAAATCTATTCTTTCGTTGCTATGCCCTTCATAAACACACACGACATCCGTTACTGTAATGCCTTGCCTACCTAAAGTATCGCCAGTAATCCTTAAAACCATATTTCCGACCAAACAATTCAACAATTCAACCAAATCTTATTGACTATAACAACAACAACAACAACATCAAAATTAAAACAACAGCAGTATAATACAACCTAAAAGAAGTTAAAACTGAAAAATTAAAACAAACCTTAATATCCCAAATGAATGTTTGAAGTATCAAGGCACTAAAATGCCAGAGCAGAGATTTACGCTGCGGAGCCTTTGCCCTGCCCTGCCCGCAAGCAGACTCGTGGCGCTATTTTGGAATTTGCATTTGAAAGGCCTGAATTGGGCTTGAGACTTGAACGCCTATCGGCCCTTAGAGGGGATTATCATTGTAGTCCGTGTGTAATCAATCGGAACCAAATATCTCTACCTGGCGTGTATGGCTCTACTTGATACTTGGCTCTATGGCAGGCGACATTGGCGCGGCGCGGTTACCTGGCGATAATTCCCCTGTGGGGTGCAGAGGCGAGAAATAAACGCAGGCACACACGCACACAGACACACGTTCACACTCATACATACACACATACAGAGA